CCCCCCCCCCAGCACTGTTAGGAGAGTTGAGGTACAAATCTTAGGAATGAAAGGGAAGGGTTTAAGGTGATACTTGAAGTCCTGGAAAAACCAATCTGAGTCCTAGAAAAGTCCTGAAATTTGTTTCTGAAAATGGGTACCAACCCGCTGAGCAATTGCTCAACTGAACTCCATCCTAAATCAATCTCTCTAGTACATACATGTAGCATGGCCATTTTGCTACTAGCAATTTGTAAGGCAAGGAGCAGCTCACACAATAGTCTACAAATGTTAAATTACTCAAACAAAGCAAGCTTGTATTTGTACAGGTGTGAAATTAAGAAGCATATCACTCAGTATTGGTTGATGTTACCCCTATGACTCTCAGCTTATAGCTGATGTATTCCCTCCATGTTAAATAAACACAACAAGCTGACAAGAAAGCCTCTGTTTCTATCATGGTGAAGCTATTTTTGTTTTTGCTGTTTTTCAGCTGCAATGCCAAATTTTTATGGAAAAGAACACCAGATGAAATTAAACTGGTGAGTTATGTCAACTTTTTTCTTGTAATTACAGTAAATCTTTACAGATAATCAACATGAATGTAGATTTTCTTCTTGAAGGATTTACAAACAATTTGTATTAACATCAATAAGTAAGATTCAATCAAAATGTGAGAATAATTTAGCTTATCATAAATTACAATCAGTAATAGATCACAGATGACTGTAAAATATGATAAAAACGTAAATGTGGCGTATTAGCAGTGGATAAGTGTGCTAATGATATTAACTCTTACCACATTTTGATGCAGTCTGTGATCTGTTACTGAATAGTTGCAGGAGAACATGGAATCTGTTTGTTTTGTATGATGAAGAAAAATGGTGGTAATGGTGATGCCATTTATACCTGAATTTTTGTGAATGTACTCCAATAATCCATCAATAAGAACCAATTAAAATACCAGTATAATTTAGTTTATCATATAATACAATATAATATGATCATAGTATAATGTGATTATCTTATAATATTGGTATTTTTGCTAAAGGGATGCTAGTTACATGCCACTTCACCCCACCCCAACCCCTTCTAATAGTTTCTATTTTGCTTCCATGATATTCCATGACTACTCCTTGGGGGAGAGGGGCTCTTTGAGCATTATATGTATCACCCATTAACCCCCTATTTCACATTTCCTTGTAAATTAGTTATGAGAATTTAGTAACAAACCAAGATATCATCTTCTACCACATTAATTTTAGTATTATCTAAGAACATAACAATATTTCAGCCAGGAGTTAGATTTGCAGTTCAGCAAGTCAACTGTTAGGCTACAATGTCCACCACATAAGCGTTTTGTATATTTTTTCTTTTTTGGATAATGCATTTTTTTAATATTATTTATTTATTTATTTATCACCTTAAGTCAACTCCAGAGCTTGCAAAACTTTGGAATGTAGGATGTCATATCTGGAAAAGAGATTTTGTAGCAGTTTACAATGCTCTGAAAGAAGAATGGTCACCTTCTATCCAGCCAATCATTGCAGCATTAACAGGTGAGATTTAAATGCCTACCAGCAGCAAACTCTAAAATTTTTATGATTTTCTCCTTGTTACAAGTTATATGATATGTTGTGTGCATTTTGTTTGTAAACAACATAGGGAGAAGAAAAGAAAGTAATTCCATTGGAACTCTTTAATGACTCCATGAAACACTGATTTTTCATTGAAACTAAACAAAACTTGCCTGCAGCAATAAATCATGTCTGGTGTGGTCAGTTTTCGAGTTTTAATGAAATAAATTGCTTGAAATTCTGGAAAATATGAAGCAGGAAATTTTTTGATTTCTCAAAGTAAAGACTACTACCAGCCATTAATTTGGCTTCCATTGAATGTGATTATGTACAAGAGCTTAAAACACAATGTTTTCATGAGCTTGTTATAGGATCTCGCGAAACTTTGCTAATTTACTGGTTTAGCCTGTTTACTTGCAAGGAGAGACTGACTTCTCCCAAGATTGGACTGTTAGTTGTCCCCTCTTGCTGCCACATATTTCTTTGTGGATTAGTTACAAGAATTTGGTGTTAGATCAAGTTTAAAACTTCTACATTATAAGTTTTAGTATTCTTATTACCTGTTTTCTGGATAAGGCGTGGATTATAGGAGAGAAGTTACATGTGAATAACTTTTGGGATTTCCATGTATGGGGTTAAGGCAATCAGATTACCCTCCTTGTATGGTGATGGTGTCTAGTTCATGACATCTTGTATGTTTCTTTCAGAAAAACTTCAGAAAAGGACATTTGATTTAGTATCCAATGCATACACCTCTATCAGAGCAGAAGACTTGGCTAAACTAATGGGGATAACAAGGGAAGCTGCTTTGAGTGGTTGGTGTTGCAGTTTCACTGCATATATTTACAGTGTTATTCAGTCATCATTTGAAATGTTTAGATAAAAAATGATGGTAACAGTGATCTTTAGGAAACAGTAAGTGAAAGAAAATTGTGCATGGTCTAAATAAAATTGTATTATTTTGCATTATGATCAGTTGCTTTAAAGAAAAAAGTTTGTTTACAAACAAACATGCAAACAAAAACTGAGAAAAATTGATGAATGGAACATCCTTAGTAAATTAACTAGTATTAATCATGGATTGAAAAAGTGTGTTCAATATAAATTAGGAATGGATTTTTGTTTCTGTGTAATAAAACCAATTGTATAATTAAACTTCTGAACATCATTTAGTGGCTCACAGCTCTGATTTTGGCAACTTATTTTGTTTGATCAACTGCTTCCAATTCAGCTACATACACTTTATCTTCCCATGTGATCCAAACTGTAGAAAGTCTAGATACCCACATGAGATTGAGGCCATGTGTGTCAGTCAGTCCAAGATGGTGTAGAAAAGCTGAAGCTTTCTGGCTTCAGATCAATGCCTGCAGAAAGCAGAAACCTTGAATAGTATATGTTCTTCGTTGAAAGCAAATGATTAATCGATTTTAATGCAGAAATCCATATGAAGGGAATTTATCAATAATTGATAATTGTTGGATAATGGTTTTGATAATAATAGTTATAATAACAATGATTATAACAGTTGACTTATATCATTCTTTTTTTTTTGTCTGATGACAATTTAGCAGCTGTTACCAGTGGATGGATTAGTGATCCAGCCACAGGAATGATTACTCCCAAGAAGACAGGTAGAGATACAAACTCAGACTTAAACATATTTATAAATTTTATAATTCCCTTACTTTTTTTTTTGTCATTCTTTACACTCTTATAACAGAGCAATGTTTAATTTAGTTGTGAAATGACATTCCTCTGAGCTAGGACCATTTTGGTTGCCATGGCATATTTAAAAAAATAGTTTGGGGGACAAGATCATTAGTGAAAGTCACCAATTAGGTGACCTGTGTTCTGCAGTCAAGTTTGTACATTTAACTAATTAGTCTTCAGTCTTTGCCTCTTTCTCCTCAGTGCGTAAGTGTTAAGTTTTGAGTTGTTGCATGAACCTTCGACAACCATGGTAATCATGTTCAGATTCATGGTTGCTTGATAGTCACTTTGAAAAACCTTGAGTTTGGAGCACTAAATGAATCTTTGAATCCTGTGAGAGGTTCAAAAACACTTGTCAAATTTCAAAACTACAATCAATTGTGATATGTCAGTGCACCTTTTCAGGCAAAAAATCGAATAGGAGAATTAAAAGCATTTTTCATCCTTTGACTCCTTTTTCTTATTTTCTTTGTAGAGCTTCCACAGAAAGAGATTCCACTCACAAGTGAACAGGAACTTGCACTATTGACAGATTATGTGTCATTTTTAGAAAATTAACTTAAACTTGAAAAGCAGCGATACATTTTAAATATAACTTGTATCATCTGAGAACTAGCATTCTAAATGTAAATAACTTCATTAAGACCAAAGTTTGTTGTAGTTTACGGACTCAAAGATGACTTTGTGTCCAGTAAGAAAGTGTAGGAAACATGCGTACACATGAAGGTAGCAATTATGTCCTTGGTCACTGGAGAGTCTCTGTGTCTCAGTGTTAGAATGTGGGAGTGTGGGATTTGCAAAGACCAAAAACAGGAAAATGAAGATACACAAGAAATCAGTCATACAACATAAGCCAACTAAATGATAGACGAATCTTAGGCAATCACCAATCCGTTACAAAACAAACTAAATATGTGGGACACAAGCCGCAAACTTTTTGCTATTACCAATTTACAACACTTGCTATCAACAATCACCAACAACATCAATGGCAATAATTTTTGGAGAAAAAATTGGCCTGTCCAGGATCAATTACAAATAATTATTGTGTTGGACTGTTGGGGTGAACTAACTCGAACACCACGAGCAGACGGGAGGCACCAAGAGTCTGATCAAGAACTGATTTTTTTAATGGGCGACTGTCACTCTTTTCTTAATGACTCTTTCAGCCCGGGCCTTAGTACACTCTTTAAAATCCTATTGGTCGGCGTGTGTGGGCTTACCAGACAAGTGACCCTGCCAGATTAAACGTATTTTTAGAACACCAACCCGAACGATTTCAACAGACTTTAGAAATCAGAGAACAACAAAATACTCATCTTATAAACTGAATTTTGTAATATCCTGCAGCGTTATGCATTGAATGCTGTTGATGGTTGCAACAAGAGAAACAGTGCTATTTAGTTTTAGTATATTCAATTAGAGGCAGTTGACTCTCATTAAAGAGCAAGAGGGAATAGATATATTTTGACCTTTTGTGGGTTTAAAAATACATGTCATACAGAAAACTGAAAACCACATCAAAAACCCTGTGCATTCGCTATTATTTCTTACAAGATTTTCAAGAAGTGATTTGCTGTTAACTGAATCAGACAATATTCCTTCACCGTAATCACTTTTAAGATCTAAACTTACTTCAGTTCCACAAACATCAACAGTTTTTGGCAAATCATCTAACAGTAAATACTTGTTCAAAGATGAATTTTCAAATAATCTTTTTCCATACTGAATAACATCATATAAGGTTTGAATTCCAATAACTAAATGATTTTATTACAGAGTAGCAGAGTGAATAACCAGCCACAGCACAACTCACATTTAACTTTCTGGTTTCACAGGCATGACTCTGAAAAAGGTTACTATTTTGAACTTTATTACTGTTAACCCCTTTCAATTCAAATAGATCATTGTCATGTATACTCTGAAAATAATGTACTAAGCTATTCAGTGATGATACTTCAAGCAGCACACATGTACCTTGAGGATGGCTTCTACCATAAATATCCCTTGCACGAGAATCGAATATATTCAAGCCCACATTACCTTTACAATAGATAGCAACTGCAGTACATCCTATTGTCAAGACAAAATTGTTGAAATTTTCAGATATAAGTGATTGAAAGGCTCTATCTAAGGAGGTACAGTACTGATATCCTTCTATTGTAGCCTCTTGATGAATAGTACCAGTGTAGCTCTCGCTGTATTGAAGTTCATAGTCAGTCTCGAACACATTTAAAAGTGTGGGTAATTCTGTCTTGACACAAGATCATTAGCAGAATTGATTCCTTGTTTGTTATTGTAAATCAAAGAGCATAAACTCATTGTGACACACTGATGTCCTGAATTCTGTCCAAATACCAATTCATTAGCTTGGCTATATGGTGCCATTATTGTTTTGCTAGGGACAATGTACATTAGAGTAGGACCAGGGTTTTTCTCTATATCTGAACTCAGTTGAAATTTAGAATAGTTTGATGCGTGTGTCTCACTCTTATAAAGACACATGGGTCTATTACAAGAAAACGTTGATAAGTACCTACTTGCTCTATACTTCAATTTAATTATCCTTTGATATACCCTTACAGAACAATTCAACAAATACTTCTTATCATGTTTTGTAACTTTATTTAATCTTACCCTCTTCGTATTAAGCTTACAATCATTCTTTGTAACTCTTCTAACCTTCACATAACGACGTAGCCAAGAGGACTTCGGTATGCTTGGACGAATACACTCATAAACAAATTCCTTCAGTTTTCTGCCCTTTCTTCCGAGGCGTTTCAGAGTAGCTTCTGGTATTCTACTGGGTTCTCGATCACGTCTAAATACACGGTTCTGTTTACATGTAAACATAATATGAGATAACTCGTTTGATATAGCAGGTTTCGCTTGATATTTCTCAATAAAAGGTTCACTCGTAAAGGATCGCTCGTAAATTGATCTCTCGTAAAGTTCGCGGACCGACCCGTTCCAAAAACGCTCCACAAGTTTTAGTGTGGGTCTACTGCGAACGGTGTGTGACTTTGTATGTATATTGGGCTTAATAGCCATCGAATTTCTTTCGCGTGCATCAAACAAGGAATTGTCCACAAAGGCAGCCATGCTCTCTAGATAGCTCTCTAAGGCTCATTCTAGGCATGCGCTAACACTTCACGCTTGCGCTGTAGTGGAACTGCGTTTTGTGACTGAACGCAAAAAAAAAAAAAAAAAAAAAAGGAGCCGAATTTATACCTCGGGCGTTTCCTTCGGAAAGCCCGAGTAAAAAATCTCTGACGGGGTCTTGAAGTTGAGTTGAAGGATGACTTATTTACGAATGCCTTATTGCTACTTCGCGTTTGAAAATCCCGGCTTAAGGCTGGGTGAATTCAAATTGTCAATCGTATTAATTGTTCTTGGCACTGGCCTTCTGCTAGAACGGTTTAATACAAAGAAAAAGGATTTTTTCGTCGAAAAAAAGAAATTTAAGCAGAAGAGATTGAAAAGTACTAAATATGTCTTTGTTTTCTATATCATTTTTAAATGATTCAGAAGAAAGAACTCTCAAAGAGCCTAAAAGTTTTTGGAGCGTTCTTTTGGAACACTCCTAAATACCGTCAAACTATTTACTGTGACACTTTTATTCAGGGACAATCAAACAATCAGAATATTTTGAATATGAAGGATCAAGGGAAAAATTGAACTTCTTAACGACCTTTATTACGTCAATCGTTTATCTTCATAAATGATGAAGAGCGCTTCGTAACTCTTCATGATATTTAAGATGGTCTTTTGTAACGTTGACTGGACGAAAAATACTTTACCTCGTTCCTTAGCACTCGAGAGAAAGTGATGCATCTTTGAAACTAAAGGAAAATTTTGAGGGGGTGGGGCTTTATTCACCCAATAACTGTATCCTAGCCTTTTTTTATAGGTACTTAGTAGTTATTAGGAAAGTTAGCTTTCGACGTCTTCTTCCACCGCGCGAATTAAGAATAATCAAGTTATTTCTCAACAATTGTTCGTTCAGATGATTTAGAGCGGAGAAGCCTGGAAATAGTAAGATGTGTTTTTAGAGCGGAGAAGCCTGGAAGTAGTAAGATGTGTTTTAAATAAGCCAAAAGTAGGAATCTTCCATTACTATCATCAGTCTGATGACAATTTAAGCGCAGTTTTCAAAAGCCGTTGACAAGAACCATTAAGTATTCCAGAGGTTTGCCAATTCACGTCCGAAAGAAGGTAAAGAGATTTTATTTACGCTGTAGAAGTCAATTTCTCCTCTTCTGATGCATAAAGTCGGATGTGAATAAAATGCAAAAGCTTTTTCTTATTCTGCTCATTGGGCATAAGATAATTCTAGCACCCTTTAGAGAAAAAGACAAGTAACAAGCAATGATTCTTCTCTCAAGCTTCGGAAGCTAAATGAGAGAAATAATTTGTGTTTAACAGAGTTCATAATTGTCGTAATTGAGGAGAAAAATTCTCAGGACTTTGACAGCTGGCCGCTTAACTAAGGGCGACCGCTTAAGTTTTTTTTT